CCCCCCCCCCCCCCCCCCCCCCCCCCCCCCCCCCCCCCCCCCCCGGGGGGGGGGGGGGGGGACTTATTTATTTATTTATTTAATTTGAATGCCGCCCATCTCCCCTAGAGGGATGGTGGACTTACCGGTGGGATTGGGAGACGCTTTGGGCTGGCCGTGGCAGTGGATCAGATGAACATCTGCTCTGATCCAGCATTGCTCTTCTGAAGCTCTTCACAGTTCTTTCTGCCTTGAATCAGTCCTCCCGTGTTGCCTAACATCTGCCGTTTTTTTAACCTGATGTTCAGAGATGAGTTTTCAAACAGAGGGGTGGAGTGAGGGCCTTTCATGACTGAATGCAACTCCGCCCATCAACTCTAGGAAATGTGTTCCTTCCTTATTTTTCTCCCTCAATGACAGTATCCAGCAGACTCTATTCTTCCTCTCCACTACTTCTTTTGTACTGTGGAATGCGAGTTGAGCAATCCAGCTACTGGGCCAGTCAAGAACATTTATTTTCAGTTCCCGCCTACGGGGGTAGGGTTGTGTATGCGTGTGTGGTTTTCTCTCTCTCTCCCTCTTGAACTCGCTGCCAACTTCCTTGTAAAATGTTGATGTGTATCAGGAGTCGGGCGAGGTTTCCGTACGTGATTGTAATCCCATCGAAGGCAAGAGAGGAAGATGGAGCAAAAGGAAAATTAAAAAAAAATTAAATTAAAGCCTCTAGACACACAAGCAGGAAAATTAGATTACACGGCCACTGTTGTGGTTTGGTTGCTTGTGTGCGCTCTGCTTTGAAGATGGTCTTTTCAGGATCCTCTTTCCTGCCAAAGTCCAAACAAGTTATTTAAGAATTGATTAATTGCAATAGAAAATAGAAGGAGGGTGCTCCCAACGAAGTTCTAATTCTGCAATGGCCCTGTTTTACTCATAGAAATTTGCAGGTTTTATTGTCCTTTTGGATTTTCCCATTTTTTTCCAGTCCTTTTTGCTACCAGAAGAAAGTAGATCAAGTGGGGGGTTACAATACCAACACTAGCTTACCTGACAGGATTATGGTAAGGCAAAGTGGGAAAAGAGGGGGTCTTTGAAAGTGGCCATGATGCTCATCAGGGGTGTCTATGGCAGTGTTGTCCAAACACTGGGGAATTCTGGGAGTTGAAGTCCACCCATCTTAAAATGGCCAAGTTTGGACAACACTGGTCTATGGAGATGCCAAAAAAGTAAAAAATGTCAAAAGGATGGTCCAACACAAGTCAAAAGAGAATGGGGCTTCCACTGCATGGTTATGGCCAACCTCTTGACTTTTTTGACCCCTCCCCTGTAGACAATCCTGATGCCCACCAAGTTCCTTGACCTTCTTTTTTTCAATAGAGAAAGGAAAAATGTCATGCTGTAAAGTGAAGTCCCAGCTTCTAGTAATAGTTTTATCTATCTATCTATCTATCTGTCTGTCTGTCTGTCTGTCTGTCTGTCTGTCTGTCTGTCTATCTATCTATCTATCTATCTATAGAAGATTGACTCTGCATAGCATTAATGGTTTATTTGAAAGTGCCTGCAGGCCTCTTGGACAATGGGTATTTTGGCTCTCGCCATGCCCACCAGGGCAGCCATTCTGAGTAAAGGTGAGCCCACCCCACGGCAGCCATTTTGTGAAAGCAGCCATAACGTATTCTCAGAACTCCAAATGTGTCCAAGAGGCATCTAGAGAGGACCAAGTCCATAACTTCAGCCCCTGTTCCTCAAGGAAGTCCACAAGCAGGAATTCAAGGCAGTAGTACTGCCGTCGGTTCCTCACAGCTGGTCTTCAGGATTTATGGAGGCCCCATCAATCCAACATGACAAGAATGGATGCAACTGACAACTGTCTCCTTAATTGGCCTAACCAAAGCCACCCCATCTCTGGGCTAGTATCCCCTCCCATACCAGCAGATTCCCAAACTTAGACTGCTTGTAAGTGCTATATAAAAATACTACTGATTATGAATGGGGCTGTCCCTCTTGCGTGCAAGAGGCAGGATAAGCCTAAATAATGGGTGGCTGCAGAGTGAAAAATGCCACCAAGCCACCCACTTCCACATTGTCGAGAGTCCCTGGCTCTGCCTCGTCTGGTAAGCTAGCAGGGATGCTATTTGGAGCATTTTCATGGCCAGGAAAGTATTTTTAGGCTGTGAATGCCTCCACGCAGTCAAGATGGCTCTTGGCTCCCCCTCAACAGGAAGCCCCTGTTTATTTGATTTGGTCAACAATAGTTTTCCTGTTGCTCTCCGGCTTTATTTCATGCTTCCTGACTTCCAGCCGCCACTCTGTTTTACTACTGTCCGCTAGGCAAGTGAAGCCAAAGCTTTTGTCTAATTAGGCTAAAGGGAGTCCCAAGGTGGCCAAGGGGAAGAGGTCAAGAAAGTCAAGATGGCAGCCACAACCATGCAATCAAAGCCCTACCCCTTTTGCTTCTTTTGTAAAAAAAAAAGGTAGGGCTTTGGTCACACCGTTGGAGTCACTATCTTGACTTTTTTGACCGCCTTCCCAGAGGTATCCCGAGGGAGCTAGGGGCCAGACCAGTTGGGAGGGATCAAATCTAGAACCTTAGAAGATATAGAATCCTTGAATTGTGAAGTTGGAAGGGACTCCAAAGATCATCTCTTCAGTGTGCCAGAAAACCAATTAAACCAGCCTCTTCTCCAGCTTCTTCTTAAGAACTTCCAGAGATGGAGAACTCATAATATGATGTCCTTTAACTCTATTAGTGTGCCACTCTGGATACTTTCTTTTCTAAGGTAGGACTTCAGAGAAGTGTGTTCAAAAGATTCACATGCAAAAAACCAACATGTTTATAAGCATGTTTGCCTAATATATACCCTTTTTTTTGCAAGCAAATTTGGTGAATGGCCTGGGGTTTATGCGGACGTGTGAGTTGAGGCGGTCATATTTTTATTGCTGTATTTTTTTTTAGTCCAGGTTGTCACATTTTGTATTATGTTTTTAACCATTTTAACTGTGTATCCCATTTTACAGCCTGCCCAGAGTCTACTGGAATGGGTAACAAATGTAATTAATTATTAATTAATTAATAATATTCATTTTCCTATAGGCTATTTGCAGTTGTATAGAAGATATTCCCCAAGGTATGTACAAGACAACTGCATTGTAAAATGTGGAGAAATGTAAAAAAGGAAAAAAGGTTAAGCACAGTTGGGTTCCTGAATTAATATGGGAAATGTGAATAAGGTCATTTTACTTTAAAATACAATCCAAATGAGTCTTTCTGTGCTCAGCTCAAGCTGCCAGAAAGCTTGGGGGCTGGCTGTTGGAATGATTCAATTCCTGCACATATGAGAAATCTCTCAAGAGGATGTTAAAAATAATGCATTTTTAAAAAATACACAATTCATGATCATGACTAATTTATATAAAGTGGGAATTCCTTCTTCAGCCAAGGAAGTGTCTGCAGCTCCATGTCTACTGGATGACAACATTCTTTGGAGTGGCTTCATTCATTCATTCATTCGTGGCATTTCGACACACTGCAGTCACTAGACTCTACAGCAGGGTTCCTCAACCTTGGTGACTTGAAGTTGTGTGGACTTCAACTCCCAGAATTCCCCAGCCACCCATGCTGGCTGGGGAATTCTGGGA